AACAAAGGTTGATAGGATTAATATAGAAATAGTGCTTCTTTCATTTAATGACAGTATGTCAAGTTTGAGGATCTACCTGAGAAAAACCAACATGAAAAGAATGAAAGTCCAGTAATAATCATTGATCTTACAAGATTATTCTTTTATTTTGTTGCTGTTCTTGGATAAGCTCAGCCACATTGGGAACTAACATTCATTCAAAGAACAGATCTGTTTAAATGATAGAGATTTTGTTAATTAACACATCTCAGTTAGGATGATTTCTTCAATGAAAATGTTTTGGAAAAAGTTGCTTGATAAGACGAGTTTCCTTACACATCTTTGGATTTCTGATTAACATAATCAACATCCAAACTTTTAGTTGAAAGTTGTGGGGAGGAAAACCAAGCAGTTCCAGAAATCTAAGGAAGCTCAGTTGAGTTCTGAGCATCCTCAGAAGTGTCCAGAACTGTATTAGTTGACATGTACAGTTAAGCTTTCCAGACAGCTGTTGCAACAGCCTTTAGTTTATTTTTTGTTTGCATGACTCTTTCTAGCAAAAAATGTTTCACTTACAGAGCAAGAGGTAATTTCTGTAGTTTTGAGAACTTTTAATCCTGGAAAATTTACAGTTTTTTTTTTTCTAAAAATCTTTTTCATCATTGTACAATTTTCTATAAAGAAAACAGAAAAAAGTAGTCTTTTTATCACTTTAAATCCTTCCATTTGGCTGGTAAAAAGCAATTTCAATCTCAAATTAAACTACAGTGACTTCCAAGGTAACATCACCTACTGTATCATCTTTTTCTACCCAAGTTACTTCCCAGTAACAATTTACCTGCAAGAATAAAAATTGTTTGGTTGCAATAAAGACTTTAAAAGCCACAAATTGATTCTATGTTCAATGACCTCCTGTGAATCAGAAGTGGAATGGAACTATATCTGCCTTATTTGTGAGGTCAAAAAGATTTTATACTGCATAATGAACTCAATATGTCACTCCATTCTACTTGAAAATGCTTTATTTGACAAGAAATGGCATGCTCTTCACTTTGACAACCTCTGGTGATGTTCAAGTCCAACTGAATATCTTATGGTAATGGTAATAATGAGATTAGCCACATCTATATATGAAATATTCTGTATTCATTGACTAAATAGCATTACTGTTGGCTGAAATCTTGTAAAACAGCTTTTCAGGCAAGTAGGGTTATCTCCTTTAAGATCTACAGGATTCATTTATGTTAAACCATTTTTTCTTAAGCATTTCACCCCAAGCAAGCCGTGAAGCCACTAGGATGCAAGGGGTTACAGAAAATTTGGAGCAAGATCAGATAGGAGTGATAGAAGAAAGGATGAGGAGAAGGGTAGTGGATAGATCAAGGCAACTGGAGATGTCGATTGACATTACATTTGAATAGCTGGAGATTATAGCTCTCAGGGAAACTGGAATAGGGAAGGGAGTTCCACAGGTGAGAGGTGCGAGACATGAAGCTATTGAAGTAGAAGAGACGGCTACATTTAGGAGTTTCAACAGTGAAAGGGTGAGAGCGGGATGCCAGCCTCGTAGGGTGCTTGAACTCATGAAGTCTGGGACAAAATGTATCCACTTGATATAAGTTCTCATTATATACTTATTTTTCAACTCTCTTTCTGACACTTATATTATTACCAACTGTAAAAATGGTTATTACTATATCTTTCAATTAAGAGGATCTTTTAAAAAGTATACAAATTATTTATAAAGATTTTGTCTTTCATCTTGAGAAGAGTCATTATCATCCCAAGAATTATTTGTATAAATGAATAAATGAGATACTTCATTTTAAGCAATGTGTATAATATAGTATATTCAATTATTTCAGATAAACTATAGAATTAATTGTATTGCATGCTTTGCTGAAAATGAAATAATATATAAGCATTGCTGTAAACATGTTTTATTTTCTGCCTAATATTGTTTTCTGATTTACACTGTCAGAAAAAGAGACACACTCTCTTCATAAGAATAGTACAGTTGGTAAGGTTGCAGAACAAATCATTTGGAATCTTGTGGGAACAACACAAAGAATGATTTCAACTGTTTGAATAAAGGTTGGAACTACACTGTTTTCCTGGGATTATGAATGGGAGGACAATGACTCAGTAGCCAAGATGTATGATAAATATCAGAAAAATGTACAATCATTCTTTTTTCCTCAAACTGCTCTTGTAAAATAAGGATAGGTCTTAAACTTATCTGCATTTTCTAACCTGCTAAATATATCTGTCTATATTTCCACATGGCACAGTTTATAAAAGTGTTGGGTGAAGTAATCCAGTGGCTTGACCCAAAGTAGTTGTGAGTTCAATACCTGATCACAGCAGAGGTGAACAAAAACTTGGAGAGTTGAGTTACTAAAGGGAAATAACTGAAACTGAGATATCCAGAAAAGGCATGGCCTGTGGAAGTAGAACAATCTACTTTGGTGGACGAAATAAAAGGTTTGGTTCAAAATTCCAGTGTATATTACCTGAAGAAGGTACAATGGCCATAACATTGTGAATATGACAATAAACATGAAAACAACAGTCCACACAATGTAAATAGTGTAAATAGTTACTTCTAAATATATTTTATCTTTTAAACAGAGAAGTCTTTTAGATTAATTTCTAATTTTTTTGATAGACCCTAATACTGTGTGCAGAGGCAAAAATTTTTATATATTCCAAATTATTGAGAGAGATCTTTAAATTTTTCTTTTTTAATCATTTCACCTCAAGCAAGGCAATAAAGCCACCAAGGCATAAAGGGTTACTAAGTGTTAAAGAATATTAGAAAAATATAATATTATTCAGGTGAGAAAACAGTAAAAGTAGAAGAATTAAGAAGATAAAAGAAAACTATCAACATTGCATTTAAATTTTTGAAAATGGAAGTTTTCGACATTTTTCCAATTCATATTGTGGTCTATTGATAACAATAATATCAACTACCTGTTCTAGTTTCTTTTTCCTTGAAAATCAAACACATGTGTTGGCTTTCATTGTGAAATCATTTTATATTGAGAAATATTTGATATCAATATCATTATGAATGTTTAATATGGTATTTATACAGTAAGTAGTACAAATTGTATTGCTTTGCTACTTTGTGTCAGTTTATACATTTTTAGACATGTTTAATTATTATAATGGTTCTTTTCTTTCTTTTATTTTATTGTAGATGCTGCTGTTTATGTATTTCTTATTGTGTAGATTCTTTCAACTCTTGAACATCTTTTCATGTTCAAAACATATTTCTATATTCTTCTTGTGTTTGGTGGTGCAATTCTTTTATATGTTTAAAATATCTAATTTGACTTTCTTCTATGATTTTGAGATTTCACTAAATAAACTATTATGCTACCTTAATATTCTATAGTTTTTTTTTCTACAACAGTTTCATATTTGTTTATTTTTCTGTTCCTTTTAAATCATTTTATGGTTTGTGAATCCACTTTTCTTTCTACATCTCATAATCTCTTTGAGAAAATCAAATATGGTTTTGAAGACTGCAGAATTTTTTGATTTTCACAAAAATTTCAGGCACTTCATCCAAGCATTTTTCTTCATATTAGAATGATAATTTATCTTAAGATGTAAGTTAATTTTTATCTAGTTATTAATTTTTGTATAGTTTTCTCAGTTTTGATTGTTCTAAAAGGATTCAAAACTGTTCTCAGAATAGATTTATCAGTACACTCTTTTGAATAGCTTTGTAGGACTAACCATCAATTGTAGGAAGGCAGAATTTATGGTTCTTAGAAAAAGGGACAGCACAAGATACAAGCTACAAATTGGGGATTTCAAGATGAAACAAGTACAAAAATTTAACTGGGAAGTGTTTTAACAGATGAAAGAATATGTGACACTGAAATCTGAAGACAAATTGGGATAGTGAAAGATGCCTTCCAAAAGCTAAACAAAGTATTAAGAAATAGGAAGATTTCAATAGAAACAAAGAAAAATTACAGAACTGTTGTGTAATATCAATCCTCCTATATGACTGGAGAATTTCTTCAGTGATGAAGAAGCAACTTGAGGCAACAGAGATGTGAAAGAATGATACTGAAAATACTATGGATGGAGCAAGTGAACAAAAAGGAAGTTTTAAGTAAAATAGAAGCAAAAAGGGCACATTTTGAATCAGAAACAAATTTCTAGGAGATATTATAAGAAAAGAGAACTTGAAGAATTTTATACTCAATGGGCAAGAGGGACAGAAGGAAACAGACAGTAAACTTGTGTAAATATATGACAGAACAGGGACTGAAAGAGACAGTAAGGATATAGATTTTTTTAAAGAACTATAACAGATAGAATAGGGAGTTGTCATAGAGAGCTATGACCTGAAGAGAAACATTACATAAAAGAAGTGACATTCTATATTTTGTCTAAAGGTTTGTTTTGTATGTTGGTACAAAACCATTTTAACCAGTCTATCTTCATCCTTATTGAGGTGTATAATTTGTAAGGAAAAAAAATCATCTTTTTTATAACTCCTCTTCTCACTGTAAAATCATTTTAGACTCTATATGACATTGTGATAAAAATTGCAATTTAAAATATGTCACAAGAATTTTCCAACTGTTTCCATTACTCTTTATTTATTTTCTTTGAACTTCAAAAAGAATCAAATCAATATAAACTTTTGCCAAATTTTGTGGATTCAAAAACAAAAGTCAGGAAGCTCACCAGTAGGTGATTGCTCTTGATTAGATCACCTGGAAGATGGGGTGTGATGTTTCTAGTGGTTTGAAACCTCAAAATGATGCAAAGAATAACTATCACTGATGTAGCTTCCTGGTACAACACATGGGTTCTTGAGAAGTGCTTTTTATTCATTATTTTTTTTAGATATTTTCATGATGAATGTTTGGTGTGCAATGAGGAATGTCAGAGTGACCATAGACTTTATTTTAAGCTTCAGATTCTTTTTTTTTCAGTTTTCTTGCCATTCTGAGCAATAATTAATTCATCTCTCTTTTCCTCAATTATGCATGCTTCAGTTTACCCTGAAGGAACTTTCAGACTCTATTAAAGGATCATCCCTATTCAAAAGTCTTTAAATTTTAGTTTTTCACTGGCTGGATTTCAATATTTGTCTAATTTACCATTTACTCCTGCTAAATTCCATCCAGGATTTGCCATGCATATACTATTTTACTTTCTCCTCCTTCATTAATATTGTCATGCTTCTCACCTTTTAGCATTATTTAACCATTTTCTTATTCAGCCCACATTTATATCTATTACACTCATCCTCTTTTGTTGTGCTTTTAAAAATCTATCCTCTCATTCTTTTAAAACTTTTGCTTTTATTTGTTTTACATCATTTCGTTGCTTAATACGTCCTTTTTTTCTTTATTCTATTAGCAATTTGTTTTGCTATAGTTGCATTTCTTTCAGCATAGAACTATCTATTCATACATTTTTTTACTCGTTCTTTTATCCAGTATCTCTGTTTTTTCACATTTACTAACTGTTCTGCCGACCACCACAAATACTTCACTCAATTTTTTTTCATTGTTTTCATTCATTTTATTATTTACTTATTTTCATGCATTAATTTCTTCACTTCATTCAGTCTTCTTGTAGTTAAGTACTCTCATTCACAATATTTTTGCCTCATTTATTCATATTAAAATTGGCTCTTGGATTAATATTTATTATTTATTTTGACCTTTGCACCTACAGTCATTCATTTTTTCAATTTCCTCTCTTTCACTTTTTGACTGATCTTCTCATTTCTTCATTTTCTCATTCATTCATTGGCTTATTCTTTATCACGACACTCATTTACATTGATTGTCCCTCTTTTATTTGTACCTTCATAACTCATTTGTTTGCTGACTTTTTTAAGCATTCATCCATTTCTTCCCTAATTTTTCCTTCGCCCAATTAATTTTTTTTAATCTTTTCAAATATTCCTTTTCTTCGAATGCACATCTCATTTAAACAGGATTCATAGGGGTGTGGCACCAACGTCCTGCTAATCAATTTTCACAACCCAAATTTGAGAAAAGAAGGCAAGTATAAAAACATATACACTACATATGATTCTTCATACAAGATATTGAAAAGAAAAATGTATATACCAAATGTTAGAAATAATAAAAGTTAATTTTTTTACTCTATGAATTTTTATTTTGCTTTGTTGGCTTCTAATTTATTATAATTTTTCAGATATTCTTTTTTACTTTCTTTGTCTTTTCATTCTCTGAATATAGTCTTTTCTTTCTTTTTTTCATTTTACTCTGTGCTTTCTATCTTTTTTCTTCTCTTCTTTAGTTTTTCTCTTTCTGTTCCTCTTGTTTCTTTCCTTCATTTGCAATTACCACCACCTTTTCTATTCTATTCCTTCTTTTCTACTTAGAATTCTTTTTACTTTTGCTCACTCACAAATGCAGAATCTAATGAAATAGTGATCAAGGCAAGCCCAACTGAGTGCGATTGGCTTTGAGCAATTTGAGGTTGGGAAGCACCAGTGATGTAAAAAGAAGCAATCATGCTGCAAACTGAAATCATTGCTTCCATTGAAAGAGAGAATTCTGGTTTTCTTCCTACCATTTTGGCAATGTTTCGCATTGGTAGGCATAAAGATGGGGAGAAGAAATTAGGGGGAATGGAGAAGGAGTTGGTTGCTTGAAAGTATTTTTGTTGATTTTAAATTTCTTTTGCAAATATTTTTTTTTCCTTTTACACATGGGTGTATTTTGCTCACTGTGAATTGGAGACTCACAAATTTAATTTTGTTTCTTTTACTATGAACATATGGAAAAATCAATCATATGTTTGCATGCACACGTAACTTTACCTCCCTATTTTCTTAATTCTCTCTCTCTTTCACTCTCTCTGTTCATATCTATCTAATGAGTGATAAACTGATTACTCACACATTCAAATCAAGTTGATAGTATTGCCTTTCCACACATATATATGTATGAACATACACAAATGCAATTTAAAAGTGTTTGTCATTCTAATATTTTTCCTGTTACTTATATATATATATATTTATATATATATATATATATATATATATATATATATATATATATATATATATGTATGTATATATATATATATATATATATATATATATATATATATATATATATATAATATATATAGGAAGTATATCATTCAAACATGTTTCATTGAATAATATACTCATAATATTATAAAAATCCTTTCTAGTTCTCTAACCAGTTTCTTGATGTTAAGATGAAATTCATCAGGGAAGGCACTGTAATTTTTCCTACCCAGGTACTTTCGATCTTCTCTGCGATCACAGTTAGAATAAATTTGTCTTTGTAATTCACCCCTGAAGATGATCTCGAAAGAGATTGAAAGTATTTGGGTAAGAAAAAAACTACCTGACACTGTGAATGAGTCCAATTGGTATATTAATGAAACATTTTAGTCGCCTTTGGGCTCTCTGAAGTCAAGAGGTTTCATTTTCTTTTTCCCAGATTACACCTGAAAAAGAGTTCAGTCAAAATATTATAGTAATAAGAGCAAATATACAAAAAATTTAAAAAATAAAATAATATTGAATTTTTTTGTATGCTATTGATTTGTAAATGGTTCTCAAAACACACAAAAATAAAAAAAAAAAAATTCAAGCAGAAAAGTGTTTTTATGCATGTAATAAATGCATTGATAAACAGAATAAAAAAAAAACCAGCTAAATGCTGTCAGGTGGAATCATCTGAAACATTCAAAACAGCTTTAACTGCATTTCGTAACAAATACATACACACACACATATGTATAAATTGGGATCAAATATATATCAGAATTTGACAGAATGGAAAGGTAAAGAACAAAATGGAAATATATATATTCAGATATAAATAAAATATTTGTGTAAAAATACTATATGAAAACATTTTCTTTTTGTCTTTATTCACACACGCACGCACACACACACACAGACACACACACATATATATATATATAAAGAAGCAATGTTACTGATTCTGACTTGACATCTTTGCCAGCTTCAGTCATGGTCCCACTGCCGTAATGTAGCTTTACAGTGCCTTCTCTATAAATATTTTCATGATAACTCTTCTAATGGGCTTTCCGTTTTGGTTATTTTGACTTTACAACTTTAACTACAGTACTAAATTGGTAGGTAGGTCTCATAATTTTACAGTTGAAATTGCTAGATGTAACCAAGTTCTATGCTAACAGTTTCTTCTCTTGGACTTCCTGATGGGAATCTCTCTTCTGTCTTCCTGCTTTCCTGTCAACTATGATCTTGTAAATGTCGATTGTCATTTTCTGTCACCTTGAATATTGTTCTGCTATTGTCCTCTCTCATTTGTTTGGGATAATATGATTAATATATATATATATATATATATATACACCTAGTGAGCCAGACAAACCTACCTAGGTTTCACCTAAACGGATCGTCAGGGAAAGTTTCCCTGACGATCCGTTTAGGTGAAACCTAGGTAGGTTTGTCTGGCTCACTAGGTGTATCTAGGTGCTCTACGATTGTATTGAGTGCTTTTGTTAGTTAGTTGTTTACTCGTATCAGGGTTTTTTCTTTGGGCTTCAGACCTGCATCTGTGCGATTTTTTTGTCGGCAGAAGTTCATGTTTGTAGCTCTTTCTTTTTTTAAAACCTTTTTTTCCCTCGAGATTGATTTGATTATTAGCAAATCAAAAATTCGAGGGTTTTTCGAAATGAGTCTAGTTATCTATATATATATATATATATATATATATATATATATATACTGGGTGTATGACAATTTTAAACTGTTCTCTTTCTAGTTAAATAACTTAATTTTTTCAATGTTTCTTAGAAAAAATGGTATCATGATGACTAAACATCTTATCCAAATACCTGGAAAAAAGAAACACAATTATTTTATTGTTTTTTGAGATATTAAACATTTTGTGGGATGAACAATTATGCTGTTACATAATTTAGAAAATTTTGCTGTTACAGCTGGTATGTGTGTGTGTGTATATATATATATATATATATAATAATGATATATAATTTTTTATATATCAAGAAAGAGTTTTGAAAGAAAAGATATATGACAAATTGGAGAAAGTTTTTGTGACAAATCTCAAACCAATTCATTGAAGTGCTAGTGGATGAAAAGTGTTACAAAACCTTTTTCCCAATTTGTCATACATCTTTTCTTTCATATAGCATATATATACATGAAAGTATAGTTTTAGGGTGTGCTATATTTATGGGATAAAGTGCTCAATATAAGAGATAGAGCATATGTAAATTTAAATATAAAAGTGAACATTGAAGTCAACACTCAAAGGCGACAGGCTGTTTCATGCAAGGCGCAATCGCCATGGCAGCCTGATGATTGTGCCTATCGTGAAACAGCCTGTCACCTCTGAGTGTTGGCTTCAATGTTCACTTTATATATATATATATATATATATATATATATATATGAATGGATACTGAAAAAATTCCCATCTTGATGCTTAGATATTTTGACTAGATTCTTGGATATTTGGTCAGATTGTGAGAAGTAATTTGAGATGAGAATTTTTTATCTTTTCTCACATCTAGGATTTACTTATATTTATATGAGCAATCATGTGAAATTCTGTTTATAATGCCTATCCTTATGAAAAATATTATATTGTTCTGAGAGTGCCAATTTAGGCAAAATTTATTTATAAATAAATACAAAGGATATAGGCTACAGAAACATATTTTAATTTAAGACTATATCTCATATTCCTCACTAAATTATTGTCTTAAAATTTTAAAATGGGCAGCTTGACCTTCTATCACTTTCTTCATTCTTTTATCCGTTGATGTTATTAACTCTTACTTTTATTTTTATCACTTTCCACAGATTTTCTTGGCTTGATTATAGTTTTCATTCTCATATTTTTATGTGCCATATCTCCTTAGGACATAGGTGATCATGGCTCTCCACAAATTCCTGTCTCTTGTAGCTCTTAATAAACTTTGCCTTTCTGTTATTTCTCCTAAATTCTGTTCTGCAATCCATTTACTCATGCTCACTAAATATGTTATGTGTTGTTTCTCTCTATCCCTCTTGCCTTTTGTCTGTTCTGTGAGTATCAAATTTTCCAAGCCCTCCTTTATTATATGCCCCAGAAACCTCATCTCTTCCTGATGTTAAGTGAAATTCTTTGTTTATATTTTCTCCAAAACATTGTTGTTGTTCACATGTTTGGTCCAGGGCATCCTTCTGTAAAACCACATTTCTGTTGCTTCAAGTCTTTTCTTCATCGTTGAGGAGATTGTCCAGCACTCACTGCCATACAGGTGGACAGATATCCCATAACAGTTTAGTATTCTTTTCTTTGTTTCTAGTGAAGTTTTTGTATTTCTTTTTACTTTGCTTAACTTCTGGAATACATACCAATGTGCCTTCAGATTTCAATGTTACACTTTCTGTCCTCCATTAAAACACTTCCCAGATATGTGTTATATCTCGTACACGATATAATAAACAAAGTAAACCCGAGTGTGGTTTTCAATAATAATTTTATAATCGGATGTAGGTATGTCAAAATACAGAGACAGAGTCAGGAGTAAGCTAACCGCAATGGTGTTAGTAAACGAAGACCTTCTTTTCCTTTCTCTCCGCTCTTTACTGTTTACTGTGGTCGTACTTTATCGGCCACCAGACCGTCCATTATCGTGAATGGGGAAGTTGGGTTATCTCATCACAACACCTCCCCTTGAGGCTGAAATTCTCCCTTTTGAAAATTTCTGCTTCTAATGTCGTCTTCTTTTTGGATCCGGACTAAAAATTTTTTCAGACGGCAGAAATGTTACACTTTCTGTCCTCCATTAAAACACTTCCCAGATATATAAATTTCTACTCTTGTTTGAATACATGTCATTTACTGACAAACTAAAAGTTTTCTACTGGATTAATATGTACAGAATCTGGACTGGAGCATTCTATTAATTTAGCATAATTGAAACCTTTTAATTTTAAAGTTACAAACTCTCTTCCATTTCCTTGCTTCCCTGATAGCTACAATCTTCAAAAATTTAAATACAACATCATCCTGTATCTTCTTGAACTACATTCAGCTTTTATCCTTTCCGTAGTTCCCCTTACCCAGTGTATTCTCCTACCTTCACTCTCTGTAACCCCAGTATACCAGTGGCTTTCCCATCTTGCTTGGGGTTAAATGATTAAAAAAATATCAATGATTATACTTTAATTGGTATTAACTCCTTGAATTATATATCCACAGCACCAAATAAATGATTGTCAATAATTCATATAAAAGCACATCATATAAGCTAAAATTCATATATTATATTTAACATATAAATATATCCTGTAAATATCATTATTTCTTCTTCTGTTGGTGATCATAGCTT